CTCCACAACCTTCTCGAATTCAAGTCTTTCCCATGGCTGCAGTTCTTAGTGAACTGCTCCAGTGTGGGTTCCAGGTAGTGCAGTCCTTGAGGAACAGACAGCTCCATCGTGGGTCCCCCACAGGGTCATAAGTCCTTCCAGCAAGCCTGCTCCAGTGTGGGCTTCTCTTCCTGGGTCACAGGTTCTGCCAAGAGCCTGCTCCAGCATGGGCTCTCCATGGGGTCACAGCTTCCTTGGAGCCTCCATCTGCTCTGCTAAGGGGTTCTCCACGGGCTGCAGGTAGATACCTGATCCATGGTGGACCTCTATGGGCTGCAGGAGGACAGCGTGTCCCGCCGTGTTCTTCACTGCAGGCTGCAGGGGAATCTCTGCTCTGGCATGTGGAGCACCTCCTCCTCATTCACTGGCCTTAGTGTCTGGAGAGTTCTCTCTCCTACTCTTACACCTCACACCAGCTGAGGGCTGTTCCCCTTCTTAAATATGTTATCTCAGAGGTGCTACCGCCATCGTTGATGGGCTTAGCCCTGGCCAGCAGCAGGTATGTCTTGGATCTGGCTAGCATTGGCTCTGTGGGACATGGGCGAAGCTTCTGACATCTCAGAACAGTGACCCCTGCAGCCCCTCCTGCTACAAAATCTTGCCATGCAAGCTCAACACGATGTGATATTTCATAGAACTTTTTGCAGTGACTGCGAAGTTTTTTCTTTGAATTGTAGTAATTTCTCTGGAGTACATAACTCTCTATGTATAGTTATGATTGCTTTTCCAAATCCAGTAATTCACGGTTGGCAGTATTAAATTTCACCTGCCTCTTCATTGTACTGTCATTTGGTGTGCCACAGTCCTCCTACAGTCCTTCTAGAAGGAGAGCATCTAAGAGGAGAGAGCGGCAAGGGGCCGACTTTCACAAGGCATGTGAGGAAAGATGCACAGGCAGCACCACAACACCAGGAATACATCTCCCATTTGACTTGAAAGAGTCCAGCGCAGAGCTACAAAGATGATGGAGTGGAACATCTCCCAGCTGAGGGAGCTGGGTCTCTTTAGCTTGGAGGAGACTGAGGGGAGACCTCATCAATGTTTACAAATATGTAAGGGGTGAGTGTCAGGAGAACAGAGCCAGGCTTTTCTCAGTGATGACCAGTGATAGGACAAGGGGTAATGGGTGCAAATTGGAGCATAGGAGGTTCCATGTGAATATCAGGAAGAACTTCTTTCCTGTGAGAGTGACAGAGCCCTGGGACAGGCTGCCCAGAGAGGCTGTGGAGTCTCCTTCACTGGAGACATTCAAAACCTGCCTGGATACATTCCTGTGTGATGTGCTCTGGGTGACCCTGCTCTGGCAGGGGGTTGGACTGGGTGATCTTTTGAGGTCCCTTCCAACCTCTGGGATTCTATGATTCCTTTGCGATGAAAGCAGCAGAGAATGTAACATTTTTCTGTCTTTTTCAAACAAGCATCCCTGGATAAAAAAAAATACAAAGCACTGCTGATAAATGCTAATTATTTTCATTTTTCTGTTTTTTTTTTAAGGATTGAGCAGTGAGTTTGAAATATGGAAAGAGAACATATTTAAAGTCAGAGTATGAAAGGAATGAAGGAACCATATTCTTCCCACACAGAAATCTTCAATGATGAAAACCAAGGAATAGCAGAAATCTTTCACAGAGCTCCACAATGTTCAATCATATGAGGTGTGCCAGTGAAAAGGCCTACACATGCAGGGTAAAATGCACAGTTCATGCCTATCCATAGTAGCCTGATAATAAGCCACGCAGAAGAATAATTTGGGCTTTTGCTTTTCTTTTTGCTTTGTTTATTTAAGGGGCGGGGGGGAGGGGAAGAGGGCATTGTTCAGGAGTGTACTTAATGGAGGGACCCAATGTTTGCAATTTTCCTTCTCTGCACAGGAAGTACAGGGGAAACCAATCCCACAAAACTACTCATTAGATAAATAAAAGGTTAATCTCAAGATCAGCATTTTAATGAAAGAGCTCAAATACTATTTCAGACTGTGCTTCCTGCACTGAAAATGCCCCAACAAAACTGACCAAATCACTCTTCCAGTACAGAGAACCTTTTTTTTTGTGAAGAGTTACTTTTAAATACATAGATCATACATAATTTAACAGTTTTGTCAAGCTCTGTTCCCTGCTTGGTGTCCAAGGCTTGAACATGAGCTTACTCAGCAGTGTACAAAAGTGCCTTGGGATCTTTCAGTGGATTTTCTAAAGAGGAGCAAGACTCTGAGGGACGCCAGTGCAGGGCAGCCCTGCAGATACTTGATGTGACTGTAGAGTCCCTATGAAACTAAGTGTATGGTTGAGAAAACAAGCTCATAGCAAAGACTGGCCTGCAGACCACTGTAGTATACTTTCTAGAGAAACAGTTGTGCTAGTCTAGGCTAACCTTGGTGGGGAGAGTTTTGGACAGGATTTTTAGGTAAGTAGGTTTGGCATATATGCAAAGAACATTCAGAGTCTGTGACAGATCATAGCTATCTAGTTGTTTCACCTGCAGAGAAACAAATGGGAGATCTGAGAGGGGCTGCCAAGCTTTGCAGAATGCAGGAGTAGTACAGATGAAACACAAGCAGAATCCTCAGCATTTGCAAAAGTGTTTTGGAGACAACCTGCATTCTCTTGCAGGAGGGATGCTTTTGTGAATATACTCATCACATTTTTAGAAATATATGGATGTAACTCTAAGACTGGTGAAGTTTTGTAATAATGAACCTGAAACAGCAATGTAAGTGGTAACTTGCATTAAGGTTTTAGCCATCTTGTGCTGGCCAGTTGAGTCAAGATAAACTTCAATATGAACAGCCTCATAAAAAGCTGATGGAGTATGGGCTAGAGAAGTGGACAATGAGGATCTAGAAGTGGCTGAACCACTGGGCTCAGAGCATGGTGATTAGAAGAACTAAGTCCAACTGGAGACTAGTCACTGGTGGCGTCTGGCAGCGGTTCACACTGGTTCCAGTACTGTTTAAGTCTTCAGAAGTAACCTGGGTAATGGAGAAACGTGCACCCCCAGTAAGTCCGCAGATGATACAAAACTGGTAGGAGTAGCTGATGCACCAGGTGTCTGGTACCACTCTGGGGAACCTGAACATGCTGGAGAGTTGGGCAGAGAGGAACCTCATGAAGTTCAGCAAGAAGTGCAAAATCCTGCAGCTGGGGAGGAACATCATGCACTGATGCACGCTGGGGTCTGCCCACCTGGAAAAGCAGCTTTGCAGGGTATGATGGTATTGTGGTCCTGCTTGACAAAAAGCTAAAGGTAAACCAGCAATGCACGTTTATGGCAAGAATGCCAATAGCTGCCAGGGTTAGATTAAGAAGGGTCCAGCAGGTCAAGGAAGGTGATCCTTCCCCTCTACTCAGCACTGGTGAGGCCACATCTGCAGTACTGGCTCCAGTTCTGGGCTCCTCAGTACTAGAAAGACATGGGCATAGTGGAGTGAAACTAGTGGAGAGCCAATAAGGTAATTAAGAGACTGGTACACCTGTCATGGAAGGAGAGGCTGAGAGAGCTAGGACTGATCAGCTTGGAGAAGAGAAGGCTCAGGGGGGTTCTTACCATCTATCTGATGGGAGTATTTAGTGAAGATGGAGAGAGACTCTTCAGTAGTGCCTGGTGACAGGACAAGAGGCAGTGGGCACAAACTGAAACACAGGAAGTTTTATCTGAACACAATAAAATGTCTTTTTTACCTTGAGGGTGGTTGAACTCTGAAGCAGGTTGCTCAGAGAGTTTGTGGGGTCTCTTTCTGAGGAGATACTCAAACCCAATTGGGCATAGTCCTGGGCAATCTTTCCTAGCTGACCCTGCTTTGAGCAGTGGGGTTGGGATATACAGTCTCAAGATAGTCTTTCAACTATTCAGAGATTCTGTGAATTAGAAGCAAAGTCTGTGAGTTAATCGTGAAGGGAACAGAGAGATCCAGAAGAGAAGAATGCAGTGGGGTCATTGGGGATTTCCGTCAAAGGTCTGGTCTGACCTAAATAACAATTTTATGAAAGTAACAAACTGTCTTTCTCTCCTCCTTGTACCATCTGCTTTGAGTGTCTGCATCATTAGACCCTTTATGCTGAGGTGCAAAGCACTTAACTAGTCAAACTGCCTAAAAGATTCATTGATCTGGAAACTTGCGCAGTGAGGTATCACAGTCTCATCCATGAAGTTCAGCAAGAAGTGCAAAATCCTGCAGCTGGGGAGGAACATCATGCACTGATGCACGCTGGGGTCTGCCCACCTGGAAAAGCAGCTTTGCAGGGTATGATGGTATTGTGGTCCTGCTTGACAAAAAGCTAAAGGTAAACCAGCAATGCACGTTTATGGCAAGAATGCCAATAGCTGCCAGGGTTAGATTAAGAAGGGTCCAGCAGGTCAAGGAAGGTGATCCTTCCCCTCTACTCAGCACTGGTGAGGCCACATCTGCAGTACTGGCTCCAGTTCTGGGCTCCTCAGTACTAGAAAGACATGGGCATAGTGGAGTGAAACTAGTGGAGAGCCAATAAGGTAATTAAGAGACTGGTACACCTGTCATGGAAGGAGAGGCTGAGAGAGCTAGGACTGATCAGCTTGGAGAAGAGAAGGCTCAGGGGGGTTCTTACCATCTATCTGATGGGAGTATTTAGTGAAGATGGAGAGAGACTCTTCAGTAGTGCCTGGTGACAGGACAAGAGGCAGTGGGCACAAACTGAAACACAGGAAGTTTTATCTGAACACAATAAAATGTCTTTTTTACCTTGAGGGTGGTTGAACTCTGAAGCAGGTTGCTCAGAGAGTTTGTGGGGTCTCTTTCTGAGGAGATACTCAAACCCAATTGGGCATAGTCCTGGGCAATCTTTCCTAGCTGACCCTGCTTTGAGCAGTGGGGTTGGGATATACAGTCTCAAGATAGTCTTTCAACTATTCAGAGATTCTGTGAATTAGAAGCAAAGTCTGTGAGTTAATCGTGAAGGGAACAGAGAGATCCAGAAGAGAAGAATGCAGTGGGGTCATTGGGGATTTCCGTCAAAGGTCTGGTCTGACCTAAATAACAATTTTATGAAAGTAACAAACTGTCTTTCTCTCCTCCTTGTACCATCTGCTTTGAGTGTCTGCATCATTAGACCCTTTATGCTGAGGTGCAAAGCACTTAACTAGTCAAACTGCCTAAAAGATTCATTGATCTGGAAACTTGCGCAGTGAGGTATCACAGTCTCATCACTGTCCAGGGTGAGCTGGCTGGAGTCAAGATGAAGTGATTGCTGTGTCAAGGTTGGCTGCAGGGGAGAGGTTTTGACTGGGACGATCAGGGCTGGCCAACAGGTGGAGAAGGACCTTCTTGTAAGGGAGTGTTTGACTAGAGCTAACAAGTTGTCACGATCTGATATTCGGATACTTGGCAATTTTTTATAAAGGTGATCCCAAATGGTGAAATTAAGACACGAACAAGGTCAGATGTCACACACACAACAAACTTTTATTGCAGTAACACAACAAAAGTCCCTAGAGCAGATAGGACAGGGAGGAAAACAGACAGAAAAGAGAGGAGAAAGCAGAGACAGAGGACAGCAAGTGAGAGCATAGTTACCACCCACGTTCCAGCAATGTCATTGGTGGGGAAGTGGTTCCTGGTGGGGAAGTGCTTCAAATGCACCCATAGAGTCCCTGATTTTTATACAGTTCTTGCCCACTGCACCCCCACTTTTTCCCTGAATAAGGGAGAAAATCCTTCTATCTTCTCTGTGATAGCAGGAGCAGGTATTATGCCAGGGGCTATGTAGTCTTTGGCTAATTGATGAGATCAGCCATTACAAAGAAGGACATTGAGTCAACTGGCACCACAGGATTAGTTTGTTGCAGTGGAGTTTTGGTCCTAGGAAGTAGCTTGAGACTGGCACTCCTTGTCTTGTCCTGCTAAGTCGGTGGTTTTCATATCAAGGCCTGGTTATCACTGGATATTCTGCTCCCAGTGCCAGCTGTAGAACTCCTTTGTCTCCCATCTCAGCATATCCCACACTAAACTTCCCAGTGCTCAGGTACTCCTTGCAGGAGGGGGTTGGGTGGGTTGCTGAGACATCTCTTTAGTTCATCAGCAGATGTTGTTCAACTCTTAGATGCCACAAGACAGACAACAGATATCCCGAGTGCCAAAGTCCATCACTTATCTCTTGGATTGTTTGAGACAAGCACTGTACATCCTGAATGCCACACAAGTCATGGGGTGGTGAAAAGGCTGCACATCCCTTGGCCAACAGGAGCCCAAAGGAGTACCCTCCTATCAACACTATCTGTCTGGGTCTGAGGGCCTGCCCCGAAAGATGGCAACTGAGAATAAGATGTAGCATGGGGATTTTTCCTGGAAGGCTGCTGACAGCCTGTCCATTTTGGGGGGTACAGCCCAGCCGTGGCCTGCCTTCCTCATTCTGATTTCATAGCTTTTGAACTGGAGGCAACATTCATGTGTTTCACAGAGACATGCTCAGCAGCAGAACTCTGCACCGTCATGGTTCATTTTCCAGACCAAAAACTGAGGCTGATTCATGTATGTTTGGGCTCTGTAATTTCTGCTAGCAGTCTTGATTTCCCAAACTGGGAGAGGCCAGGGGGAACCATATTGTTGCACATTTGAAATGTCTTCCCTTAGATGCCTTCTATTTTTATAGTCTTGCCACATTTTGCCATAATCAGCATTTCAGTAAACCACTTCTAACTTTTCATCAGTCAGGTTCCTTCATTAAAAAAACCCAATCAACAACTTAACTTAAATACACTGAAAAGTAAAAAATAGGATTAAAGTCCCTTTGACTTGACCAGTTATGGTTTGCTGAATACAGTGCTCTGTCTTTGGTGAAATAAGCTGTCTCAAGCAGGAACAGAAGCTGATAATGGATTCCTAAGAATCCTAGAAATGGGATTAGCTAGGGGAGTATGTTGATCAGATAGAACAAGTGTCTGAAGAGTGGATGTCAAGAATGGGCCAGTCTCTTCAGTGGTGCAGTAGGACAAGGGGAAACATCACCAAGTTACAACACATGAAGTTCCATCTTAACATGAGGAAAATCTTCTTTACTGTGAGGGTTACAGAGCACTGGAACAGGCTGCCCAGAGAGGTTGTGGAGTCTCCTTCTCTGGTGACTTTCAAGGCCTGTCTGGACACGTTCCTGTGTGACCTGCCCTGGGTGTTCCTGCTGCAGCAGGAGGTTGGACTAGATCTTCAGAAGTCGCTTCCAACCCCTATGATTCTATGAAAACATGGCAGTGGCTACAAGACAACAGGGCAGACACCTGATGGTGTCGTGGCAGGGTTTGGAATTATTAATTACATCAAGCAAAGGTCAGTGTTATGCCAATAGGCAAGACCTCTTATTCAGTTGTCTTATGAAAACTACAGTAAAGTAAATGCCCATGCCTATCATTCCCTTGTTTTCCATTATTCTTTGACTCAGGGCAGTATCTTATTTTGATGGTGTACCTACAGCTTCTTTTGGTTTGATAGTTTGTTTCTTTTGTCAGCAGTTCCGACCTAAGACTTCAAATATGAGTCACTCTTAAGCTTTTCCGTCAGGGCAAAAAAAGAAACTTGGCATGCACATGCAAACAGGAAAAAAAAACAGTTCCTAAAATGTCATGTGAGTTTCACTTTTTGTTAACTTCAGAAACAAGACTCTAGTTCTTGCTGCCTGGCACATCAAAATATCTGCTTCACTTGGGTAGGTGTATTAATAACTTTCCATTTCTTATTCTTCACTCCTGAAAAACCTTTTTCCTCTCCAGTATCTGCTTTCATCTTCACAACCACATAGCAGCCCTTTTAGCACTTGAAAACATCGCATTGGCAGTATTTTCTTATGGATTCATCCCTCAATGTGCTCTGCAGTAGGATTAGTATTACTGTCTTTAGAATATTCCTTGATTCCCTGTCCTCTTCATACTATCTTCTATAGCTCTTGCAGCCCTGTTCTCCAGTTGTCCCTGTAAAAGTTGCTTCTACGTCAGACTTTTCTTAAGCCCCCAGCTGCCTTCCAGTGACTTCTTTCATAGCTTTCCTTCTAGGTCACCCTCACCTAAGAGCCTCTTAGCAGTTGTTTCAGAAAGTTACAAATTATCATGGTTGTTTCAACTGTTTATTAGATTTTCTTTGTGGTGAAGCCCTTCTAACACTCATGTGTCGCTCCACATTTAGAATGTATGTTATGCAAGAAAAAGATGGATGATTTGGGTTTTTAGTTGTTGGGTTTTTTTCATAAGAGTCCCTGACTGGCATTTAAGTACCAGCATAACGGAGGTTAAAATAAGATCAGGCTGTGTTACCCTAATTCACATCTCTCTCCTCAGTTGCCTCTGCAGGCTGTATTCTGCTCTTATCTATGCAGTTCCTATGCATTCTGATAATGCTTTTAGAGAACCAAAAGGTCTCTAAATCAATCTAAATTGATTGAGCAAGGTTTTAGTTAACAGGGATTTTATAAACAATTCTATGAATGCATAAAGGATGAAGATCAGGCTCTTTTTTCTCAGAATTGCCTACTCATTTGCTTTCTGTTTTATAGGCACAGAATGCCTCAACTCCTGGGTAACAGCAGTTCACATGAACAGTCTGCTGTATATTTTGCATCAGGATCCTTTGTCTCCATTGCTGTCTTCATCATCATTTTCATCATAGGTATTCCAGGCAATGGCTTGGTGCTCTGGGTAGCTGGTCTGAAAATGAAAAGGTCTGTGAACAGTGTCTGGTTTCTAAACCTTGCTGTGGCTGACTTTATGTGCTGCTTTACCTTGCCATTTTTAATTGTTCACCTGGCCCTCCATGAGCACTGGCCTTATGGTTGGTTCCTCTGCAAAGTCATTCCAACAGTCATAATCTTCACCATGTTTGCTAGCGTCTTTCTACTCGTGGCCATCAGCATTGACAGGTGCCTCCTGGTGATGAAACCTGTTTGGTGTCAGAACCATCGAACAGTGAAGTTTATATCACTAATATGCTGTGGCATTTGGATCCTGGCCTTAATTTTCTGCTGTCCCACCTTCTACTACCGTGACACTTACACTGCTGATGGCAAAACTGAGTGTGGGTACAGTTTTGGAGATGACGAAGGCCTAGATTATACGAGTGACTCTGTAAATGAGTTATTGGAAAATTACTCACCTTTAGCCTACAATGGTAATTACTCATGGGGAGATTTCTATGAAGGCGATTATTCTGTATCCCTTGCCTTAGTGGTAATAAACATCACTAGGGCTGTCTTTGGCTTTCTACTCCCCTTTGGCATAATGGCATTTTGCTATGTCCTCATTGCTGTCAGAATACATGCAAAGCAATCTCACAAGCCATGCAACAGGATGCTGCGAACAATTGTGCTCATGGTAGCTGCATTCTTCATCTGCTGGGCTCCATACCACGTAATTGGGATTCTGTCCCTTGTACCTACTCTTGGAGAAGGACTGAAGGATTCATTGATCATCTGGGATCACGTCTCTACAGCACTTGCATATGCCAACAGCTGCATCAACCCCCTGCTTTATGTTTTTGTGGGACGGCGCTTCAGGGCAAAGGCATGGCAAACAGTGCAAGGAATCTTGGAAGGTGTCTTTACTGAGGAGCCAATACGTTTGACCCCTTGCACCCTTGAAAGAAGCAAGACTTCAACTGAGAAGGACGTTAGCACCCTTGAAAGGAGCAAGACTTCAACCGAGAAGGATGTTAGAAACACACTGTAACACAGGATTTTGGATCACTGTAGAAAGTGAGCTATGGCCCTGCACACCGATCACATTCTGCTTAACAACTAATTTTGCTCCAACACATTTGATTCATCTGCAGATCCACACACAAAAGCCACTGAGATGGTTCAGATCAGAACAGCTAACTCTTTTTATATCCTCCCCTAAAGAGACAGAAAGTTGGAAGTATCAAGAGTTATAAATAATCTGAGGGAAGACTCTGGTGAAGTAAGAGACAGAATATTTTAACCTTTAAAGAGGAAAGCTGGTTTGCAGAATGATCTGTGGTGGAATCATGAATTTAATCTCTGATTTGCTAGATATGGATGTCATTGGAATTATCTGCATATATCTATGTTCTTTATTTCCTGTCTCCAATACATTGCAGATGAAACTAACTTTGACGTCTCTCCTTGGAATCTGTCATTATATCTTTACTCTCCTTTGACTATTCTTGGGGTCTGAGGTTTGTTTTTTTTCCCTGAAGATCTCCCTACTTGGCACTGGTGAGACCCCACCTTGAATACCGTGCACAGTTTTGGGCACCTCAATACAAGAAGGGCTTTGAGAGGCTGGAGTGTGTCCAGAGGGGGGTGACCAAGCTGGTGAAGGGCCTTGAGAACAAGTCTTATGAGTGGGTGGGTCACCATCCCCTGATGTGTTTAAAAGTTGTCTAGATGTGCCACTTGGGGACATGGCTTAATGCTGGACTTGGTAGAGTTAATGGTTGGACTAGATGAACTTGAAGGTTTTTTCCAATCTAAGTGATTCTGTGAATCCATTATTTTCTTACAGTAGTGCATTAGAACAGCACTTGCCCCAGTTATCTGCACAGAATGGACTTTCATACCCTGGTAGATGCTCAAGATATTTCTTTCTCCCAGCAAATACCTCACTGTATAGTAGTAAACTGGTCCAAGGCACATGCCATAGCTATGCTTTTTAGTATGCACTCACTCATTCACTATCTCCCCAGCATTCCCTCTACCCTCAGAGTCCCAAATCTTCCTTTTAGGAAGCAGTCAGAAGTTATTCAAATGTACCTGCTGCATCTTAAGGTGGCACACAAGTATAATTTGAGCACCTGCAGTCACAGATGAACCAGATTAGGTGGCTGGTGGACTATGAGCATGCTGCTGACTATGATAAAGCCTTGGAATGGAGAAGTGATAACCTCTAGTCTGACCCCAAGGTGGGGACCCAGCCTGTTGCAGCACAGTCATGTCCTCTCTACAACTGGAACAGGCTGCCCAGGGAGGTGGTGGAGTCAGCACCCCTCAAAGTGTTTTAAAAATACATATATAGAGAGACGTGGTCCTTAGGGACATGATTTAAGCACTGAATGGGTAGATTAAGTTCTGGTTGGTTGATTTAGGTTAATGGTTGGACTTGATCTTCAAGTTCTTTTCCAACCAGGATGATTCTGTGATTCTGTTAGAGAGATGTGCTTCTCATGTCTTCCTTGTGGAGGAAGATAAAGATTTCATCCGGAAAGGCTGTCTGGGGGCATTTCCCAAGCTTGGATATCCCCTGTTCCCAAAAGCAGATGTACTCTCAGGCACTCTCAGGAAGTGGATTAAAAACTTGCTTTTTGTGTTGGTTCTTCTTTAGAGAAAGTCAACAAATGGTATGACAAACAGCCACTAAGCACTGGTAGTTTTCACTTTGCCTTTCTAGCAAGCATGAGTTGGAAGGCTCTTTGGCCTCTAAGGACAGCCAGCAGTGATACCTTTTGACTCTTCCTCTTGACAGAGTAAGTCTCATTTGTGAAGTTCAAAGAAGTGTGGGCTGTTAATTTAGCAACGTTCACACCCAGACTCTGTTTCTAAGGTGAGCCAGCGGGAACCGAGCCCACCTGAGAAGGGTCACAGGGAAAGAAATTAAATACTGGCACCAGAAGAGTTAAACCATAAACATTCACTTTTTCTTTTTATTAAGAAAGCATGCACAAAAATAAACTCGTGAGACCATGCCCCTCTCTCCCTGACCACTGACACAAAGCACAGGGGACCACCCCAGGCTGGAGGGGGGGGCAGGGCAGCACCCCACCCCTCCCTGCAGAGCTGCACACGCCCACCCTGTGCCTTCCCACCCACCAACAACGCACATCGATTTCAAGGGCAGAGGAACGAGGCTAATTTGCACACTGACCGGCATGTATTTACATATGCAAATGAGGCGCAACATAATATGCGACTTAGGCAAATATGCAAATGAGGAGCACGTGGATACGCAAAACGAGCCATCTTGATTGGTTTTTCTTCCGGTGGTGCTTTCAGACTTGCACGGGGCCGGCTCTCAGTGACACTCTCTGCAAAGCACCCACTGGCATCTACCAGAGGTTGGCTGCTGTGGGTGTCTCTGGTGCCACCTTCCTACAGAAACCCATCCCACCTGCTTCCAGGCCGTACCCTTCTCATCCTTAGGCAGCAGAGATGACAGCAGACTCCATGCTGAAGTTGGCTCTGAGATTCCTCATTTCTCTTGGAAACACTCAATGATGAACTCCCCCCCCCACCCCCGCAAACACACTTAAAGAAAAAAAAAAAAAAAGGAAAAAAAAAAAAAAGGGAAAAAAAAAAAAAAAAAAAGGAAAAAAAAAAAAAAGGGAAAAAAAAAAAAAAAAAAAGGAAAAAAAAAAAAAAGGGAAAAAAAAAAAAAAAAAAAGGAAAAAAAAAAAAAAGGGAAAAAAAAAAAAAAAAAAAGGAAAAAAAAAAAAAAGGGAAAAAAAAAAAAAAAAAAAGGAAAAAAAAAAAAAAGGGAAAAAAAAAAAAAAAAAAAGGAAAAAAAAAAAAAAGGGAAAAAAAAAAAAAAAAAAAGGAAAAAAAAAAAAAAGGGAAAAAAAAAAAAAAAAAAAGGAAAAAAAAAAAAAAGGGAAAAAAAAAAAAAAAAAAAGGAAAAAAAAAAAAAAGGGAAAAAAAAAAAAAAAAAAAGGAAAAAAAAAAAAAAGGGAAAAAAAAAAAAAAAAAAAGGAAAAAAAAAAAAAAGGGAAAAAAAAAAAAAAAAAAAGGAAAAAAAAAAAAAAGGGAAAAAAAAAAAAAAAAAAAGGAAAAAAAAAAAAAAGGGAAAAAAAAAAAAAAAAAAAGGAAAAAAAAAAAAAAGGGAAAAAAAAAAAAAAAAAAAGGAAAAAAAAAAAAAAGGGAAAAAAAAAAAAAAAAAAAGGAAAAAAAAAAAAAAGGGAAAAAAAAAAAAAAAAAAAGGAAAAAAAAAAAAAAGGGAAAAAAAAAAAAAAAAAAAGGAAAAAAAAAAAAAAGGGAAAAAAAAAAAAAAAAAAAGGAAAAAAAAAAAAAAGGGAAAAAAAAAAAAAAAAAAAGGAAAAAAAAAAAAAGAGAGAAAAAAAGAAACAAAAATGTCCCCCCCCCCACAATACAATTGAGACTCTGTCCACTTCCCTGACAAAGATCCGATTGGTTTACCAATACAGCAAATTTTAAAAGCAATGCTAGTTCCACACCTTCCTGCAATAAGAGTAGAGCTTGTTACTCCTCTGCCACAGGTCTGTCAAGCAGCCAGGATATTTCCATCTTGGTTCCCTTCACCGGCAAACAGGGAATAAGGGCATGGGGCAGGCTTTATAAAATATTAAGAGGAAACAAGAGGCTTGACAGAACAGAGCCATACCAGAAAAAAGGGGAACACAGGACACATCTCTGGGGAGGAGGTATCTCAACACTCACTATTGCTCCTGCACCTTTTCCACCTTCCTGATTTGCACATGCTGACAAAACTCATCCTTCAAGATTTACACTGGATTCCATCACCTCCCCAGCCGAACTGGAAAGGATATGACTCGCCGTCCTCCCTCTTATACTACACTCTTTGGCTATTTGGTTTAAAAACATGCCCCACTTAATCCTCTCTCTCCTAATGCACCTCTTACAAAAAACACTTAAGAGGGCTCCCAGTTACTTGACCAGAGGGCCCAGCCCCCTGACCAGATGTCCTCTTATTCACCTCCACTCTAATCCTCTTCCTCTTCCCACCACTAGCCCATTCACAAATGGGAACTACTGCCTGAGAATTTCCACCTACACAACAGAACTCCTGTTGCTGGCACTCTCAAATGACAGACAAGGACAGTTTCCAAAGAAATATGAAGGACAAAGGGCCCATTAGCAACAGAGCAAATACTGGTGGGGAGAAAACTTCCAAATTTGCATATGCAAGTAAAAGCCTCGCCACATATTTTGAAGAAGGGCTGAAGGGTTGTGGGGTGAAATGAAAAGCTCTGGGGAACAGATTTTGCTGAATCCCATGTGACACCCCTGACTGCTTTTTTACCTGATGGGTTTGTAGGTTTCACCTGGAGACTGCAAAAGACACTGTAGAAAATAGGTCAGAATTCCCTCAAAATCTCTCTCAGTCCTCACAGATGGCACTGCATTTCAGAATGCACACAACTCTGCTGAAACACCACCTCTGCAGAAATACCATCTCTGCTACATTCTCCTTTCTCCCAATTCAGATCCACCCTCCCAGCTCAGCTCAGCTCTCCCTGCCTCACAGATTACCCTCTCTTGGTTCTTGGGAACTCCTTTCCTTGCTTTTCCTGCTGGTGCGAGAAAGTTCACAGAGCTAAGATCACCCCTCCAGTGTCCCTTTAGCCCCCTGGCCTTTACAACATTTACGAAACAACATAACTATAGGCTCCCCAGGTCCACCAAGCTCTGTCACTCCAGTAGCCAATACAACAGATCCACTGGCCACCTCAAAGGGCAAGAGGGATTGTCAAACGCAAAATGACAGAGGCAGAGAAAGATGCACTCGAGGATTCAGCCTTCAGACGTCTTTTCATGGCACCAAGGACCCACCTTTCCACCCTCCACAGAGCACCATGCAACACGAAAGAGCCGATCTGATGCATCCGAGGCCACCAGAGGAGAGGGAGGGCTGTGCTCAATTATCGGTAATAATAATAATAACAATAATAATAATAAACAAAAGAAGAAAAGGAAGATAAAACAGGACGCAAGGAAGGATTATCTTCGGCAGCATCTTGCGGTGGCTTCTCTGGCGGAGATAGAGAATATATATCTATATACAGGCAAGGCAGGGAGGCTGGGGAGGGTGGTGCTGGCACCATTCATCCCACATCCCCCTCCCCTCCCGCGTCCCTCACACAGGACGGGCTATCAAGTCTGTAACTCGCTAGGTGATCAAGTCCCAGTCGAAATCGTCGGGGATTTCTTCATTGGCGCTTGGAGGAGGCCCTGGAGGCCGAGGGACCAGGTGGTGAGCTGAGCCAAAAACAAGAACAAGAAAATAAAGGAAAAAGAACAGTTAGAATAAAAAATGTCATGCCTTTTCATGGTGGACCCTTGAGCAAAAGAAAGCGTAAGAGATTCAGGTGTTCTCCCTTCCAACAGTCTAACAAACAAGAATACTATTGGCATTAATTTCTCCATGTCAGACAGCACCTATCCTTATCTGCAGATGGTCTGCTGTGAAATTCTCCACAGCAGCTTATCCAGAAATTAAGTTTCAGCCTCCCCAACCTTCCTTGTAGTTCAGTGCTCATCAGGCACAAAGGACTTAATCAACATAAGCTTCTCATGTAAAGTTGTCTTCAAGCAACCAACTGATGGTGAGGCCTAGAAGACTATTTCTGTGAAGTGACAGAAAACCTAAACCTTGCCAGAGCTATGGCAGAGCCCTAAATGGAGGGTCCCCTGATGTCTGGGCTTCCTCTCTACCCTCAGTGCTCCATTTGATTAGTAAATGCTTTGGGAAAAATACACTAAGGGCTTGAGAACTGGTTCTTTAATGTTCATTGGTATAATATACCTTAGAGTCACTACTTACCTGGGCGATTATATCCTGGAGAGTCCTGGGTAGAAATCTGGTACATAGGAGATGGCCCAGAGAACAGATGGGGAGGCTGGGGCTGACCATAGGAGTTCACTGTGAAAGGAAAAATAAAAAAAAAGCCCAACCTGTTAATGTTCTGGTCAGCTGCCTTGGCCCTAACTGGGTGGCAGTTCAGCTGCAGAGCAACTCACTCAGACCCACGGGATACTGAGGAGATGTTCAGCTGTTGGGTCCTAACTGCAAGCTACAGCTTGGTCAGGGATCTTGTTCTTGGAACCAGCAGGAGCTTCTCTATTATTGCAAAAGGAGAAAACTTTCATCCAGAAACACAAGCTGGCTCAGTATAATCCATTTAGTTCAGTACTAGATGACACACACCCTCAAAGTTCTGTTAAGACCATAATATAGTCTGTGCTCTTCTCAGAGTGCATCGTCCTACTCCTTGTCCAGTCAGTATTTCTCCAACATGGGTGCAAAAACAGCTCCTGCCATCTGGGATAGCAAGATCTCTACTTTGCTACTCTTTTCTGTTGGTCACTGAAAAAAACCACCACAAATGTATTTCTGCCTGGAGAGGTTGCCTGTCACTGGTATGCATCACATAGTAACAGTCTATCTATACTACAGACATAGGACATTCCAATTCTTTAAAGCCAGAGGAAGCTGAGCTGCTACAATCAGCTCTGTCAGCCTAGCCCTGAGTTGCTTGGTGCTATGTTGCCTGCCAAGGCAGCAAGTGGTTTAGGATATTCACAGAATTGGACTTATTTATGTGCAATGTTAGTCTCTGTCCTAATTAATTACCTTGGTTCATGGATTGCTCCTGTTTGCCACTGTTCAGGGCACAAGAATCAGAGATTCGAGGGGGCTGCTGTGGGCCAACCAGATGAGGGAGCTGACCAGTCTGGGTAAGGAAGTGATTAAGGGAGTCACAGAGATTGGCAATATGGTGTTGATCCAGCGTCCAGTTCTTCCGTTCAGCCTGGCGCAGACTCTCCATCAGCTCTGCAGGGGAAAAAGGACCACATCAAAGACAGCAGCCTGCAAAAGCTTCTCTCTTCTACCCCTAAATTCTACCTTCACCCCACAAACCCAACTTCACTGCTTTGAATCTGTGACCAAACTCCTGGAGAGCTCTGTATCACTGACTCAGGTAAGGGAGTGAAGGGCAGGAGGCTAAAAATCTCACTTAGCTTTCTCACATATTTTGATGCATTAATTCCCACTGCCCCAAATTCCTGCAATGTTAAGTGCTTCAGGATCTTTAACAGAACCCATGAAGTAGGACACCTCATTTTACAAATAGAAGAGTTGAGCCACTGAGAAACCCATACACTTGACATCAAAAAAAGGATCTGGGCAGAGCGCTCACATATTTTAGACCACAGCCCCAGTCACTGAGTCACTAGAGCTGGTCACTAGGCCAACACTGACCTGAGAACTGGGAGTGCTCAATGCTAGACCAGTTCAGACGGTTTACCATCTTGAAGCTTTCCTTCAGGGAATCAATGTTGGAGCACCAATCAGAGGGAAAGGCTGGAATGAAACAAAGGCAAGATTAATGCAATACAGACTGACCTTTCCCTTCACCCCTTTGTATAAAATTATTGGTCCCTCTTCATCAAAGAGCCTGATGCTACAGTAGCTAGAAATACCTTCTCCCTTGGAAGACCGTGTATGGTGCCTCCTTTTCCATTTAGCCCCTGACTTTATCCTGCATCCCCAAAAGGAATCTCATACCCAGTGTGGATGTATCCTCCTTTCCTTCAGTAAGAAAGTAACTTCCCTCTCAGATTTCAACCACAATTGGCTTTCACCCCTTTATAGATATACTATAGATACTACTTAGGGAAAGCTTGCTTGTGGAATTTCTGTCTGGGGGCTCCTCACCACTCCCCTTCCTCCAGCTGTTCTTTCCATCATCCCTGACTCACCAAAGCCAGCATTGTTGATTGAAGCCTGTGACTGCTGCTGCTGCTGCTGATGTGGTGGCTGCTGCTGCGGGTGGGAGTGTGGGTGATGTTGTTGATGCTGGTGGTATCCTCCATGCTGCATTGGAGGTGGGTGCATGGACATCACTGGTGGAGGGCCATAACCTTCACCACCCTGCTGCTTTCCACCTTGGGATGGGCAACCCTCTGGGGTTGGAGTGTGGAGTGGGGGAGCAGCACCCACTGATGAGTGGCCTTGCTGTTGCTGGTACATGTAGTAGTTGTGGTTGGAGGGCTGCATGTCACCAAGGAGAGAAGAGAAACCTGCCGAGTAAAAGAAAGAGGATGGAGCTTTAAGAGCTGCCTCAATCAGACATCTGCTTAAATTATCCATCTCTAATTTCACACTGCTCATCCTGCTATTTATTACGTTCTTGGAGTGCCCTCTAAAGGCCGCCAACAACTATCACCTGCACATTCACGTGCTGACTGTTCCAGATTCTGTTCTAAAGAAAAAGCTCTACAACAAAGCACCAGCAGGATTTAAACTTACAGTAAGGGTTAAGCTCTTAAATTCCTCCCTGAATTTTTCCTATATTTACCAAAGCAACCAATGTGTTCCTGAAATTTCACGTGTATGTTGTTCTCCTAGAACTGATCATTAAGCAATTTACAACAACAAAACATTTAGAAAACAGATAACTTGATAAACCTGACTTGCTGTTTCCAAAAGCTCCTTTCAGTTTCTGTCTTTTAAGCAGGTTGGTCAGGAACATTCACCATTTTTCTCACACAGATCATTAGAAGTCACACATGCTACTGCTTTTGTTCACAGAGCATGTTGCACACATCAGAGCTCCTTTATTACTTTCATTCCTCCCCTTACATTGTTGAACCTCTGGGAAAAATCAGAGTGAAGGGCACTACACGCCACTAACCTGAGCTAGCTGATTTGGAGTTCCCTTACTTTGACCACTTGCAAGCCAGCCTCAGTTTTTCACTAGATTCAAAATCAACCCTTAAAGCATCCTACTACTGTGATGGGGCAAAAGGATGAATACTGCCATCCTGACTCAAAAGTTGCCCACTTCCTCAAAAATTTCAAGTTTTCCTAGACTACCTTACAGCTGAAAACCTCGGGAGAGTGAAAGAACGAAAAGACCACTGCTAAGCTTTTACAAACAGAAGCACACATACCAAGTCAAGGTTCTTCACATTTTTGTAGCTTGCTCCTACAACATCTCACACAACAGGCTTTTACTAGGAATCTCAAGTGCCAGTATGATAAAAGCAGTAAGTAATACATTTTTATTTCACTGAAGCTACAAGTTCAGGAGGCTTCTCCTAGTGCAGCAAACTTTGCCTGCACTGTATGATGCCTGACAGCACAGGTGAGAGGCTTATCTAATAACAGATTCCTATTTACACCAGACTAATATTTAGAAGAGCTTCCAAGGGCAGGAATAGCTACGGGAGGTTTTTTGAAGCGTGTTCCATGGGCAGTATTATTGCGACCTCCTGTGTATTATCCAGCCCGAAGGTATGCAGGGGCGTGGAACTAGAATGATCTTTGAGGTCTCTTCCAGCCCAAACCGTTGTACGATTCTAAAATACCTCATCTCCTCCCTGCAGCGACCCTGCCCTCTGCTGGCTGCTTTCTGAGCCCCAGGAAAGCAAGCTGTGAATGGAGCTGGAGGCGCTCTCTGCTGTACTCTCAATTCACAAAGCTCAACTCTCCAAGGCCTTGCACAATCCTAGTTTTAACAGACCTGAGAAATGACTTGGAGAAACTCCACTGCCTACACGTAACAATCCCCCTGCTCTTATGGTTTCTAGCTTAACAGTGCAAATACTTCTCTGACATGCTTTTCTTCAGGACACTTCTCTAAGCTTCAGTTTCAGTACTTGCTTTTGAATCAACACAAGGTATTTTTACATCATTATCCTCTTTATTCTGAGATAACGGGAGGGGGGGAAGCAATAGATAAAGGACATGCAGATTTCTTATCTGCTGCTAGCAGAACTAATTACAGCATGCCAAAGAAGGAAAGTCGGTTTGCACAGGCTCCTAAATGAGGAAAGATCTGAGAGATACCAAGAATAGATCCATGGACAAGACAGTGTGGGCAGATACCTGCCCACCCCACATGACTCATACGGTTACTCACCGTGCTGAGAGGAAGATGATTTCTCCAGCATGGATTTGTAGAGATTTCGGAAGGACCAGCTAAGATCCTGGAAGTTGATCTCGGAGTAGGAGAATTTGAAGTCATGGTTGGCACTGTACAGTGGGGGTGGCACATCGGACCCTTCACGGCCCTGCCCCCCAGCTACAGTAGAGGCAACATCCACAGGCCCTGCACCTTGCTAAGGAGGGTAGAAAAGTAAGGCCTTTAGTTTGCACTAGGCTTTGTAACTTGAGACAGGGATCCAGAGACTAGACACGGGTAGAACATGCACTGATATCTCATATGGCTTAGCTCATCTCTGAGCGAATCTTCACAAAAGCCATTTCCTTGAGGAAAACCAACCCCCACCCTCCCTCTGCAGCACACTGGCTCCAGCCATCTAATGCCATTATGCCTTCATCCTTATCCTCCTCTGGCCCTTCGTTAACATTCACTTCCTTCTTATTTTCTGTCTGTGTAATTTCAGCTTCTTCCCTTCTTTTTGTCTCTGTATCACCATTTTCATTATCCCCTCTCTTTTCAACATTTTGCTTTTCCATTCATGCACTTGTCCCTCTCTCCTCTTCCCCTCTCCCCCCCACTGTAAGGCTGTAAGACCCTGCTGCTCACCTGACTATAGTTGGCAATGGGGGTGGTGCTCTGGAGCGACAGCTGAGGTGTGGCCTCAGGTGGCAAGGAGGCTTCTGTGCTGACTGAAACAGCCCCTCGAGGGCTTTTACTTGCCTCTTGCTCTGGGGAGTCTTGTGGTATCTGTGGATGGGGAAGAAAGAGAAAAGGAAAGGAGCAGAAATCATGAACAGATGGAGAACTGAAACTGCAGATGGCAAGCCAGCTTCCCTGCTGTATAAGTTCAAGGCTTAGAAAAGAGAAGAACTGGGCCTCAGTCACTACAGAGTCAGGATAGAGGACTTTAAACAAGATTAACTTTGCTACTGAACAGCTGCAACAACGGCCGATCAGCAGGACATACTGGCCAGTTCATTCAGTCCCAGCCTCTGTCTCCCCATCGGTACACCCTGCCCCCAAAGTGGTACTATAGTCTGATGCTGGAAAGAGTCTTGGAACAAGAAAGGAATTGCCCCTCCTGCTCCACGCTTTCTGGAAAGAACAACACTCACGTCATCATCTGGAGGATGCCGCCTCTTGCGAGATATATCTGGACATGTATCTATTGTCCAATAAGAGCCCTAGAAAGAAGATCCATTAGTGAATGCATGATTAAACCAGAGAACTTCCTGAAGCAGGGGATTACTGACTCAAAGAATGCAGCACCAACTAAGTATCAGGACAAGGACCACCCTCCAGAAAATCAGACAACAGGGACTTGGGGTGTTGGAAAGAGACTGCTCTCTTGCACTGGGTTGTATGGAACAATGAGGTATGATGCTACTGATGGAAGGCAGAATGCTCCACGTTTCCATCACTCTGAGACAGGACACCAGGAAGATCAAAGGATGTTCTGAGCCAAACTAGACCAACATTTTTGGGCCTGAACATCCTCTTCAGTACCCTCCTCACAACATGAAATTGTTACTGACTGATGAGAACCAATTCAATGTTCAGACTGGGTAGAGGAAGCTAGAAGGATCACTCTTATTCCATGCTTGTGAGACTCCAGTGCCCATCTGGGGGGTTCCCAGTGCAAGACAGACCCTGACATGCTAGAATGCATCCAAAGAAGGGCCACCATGATGGTCAAGAACAAGAACACATTATGTACAAGCAGTTTACACAGAGAGATCTGTTTAGCCTGGACAAGAAGCTAAGGGGATCTAAACCACTATCTTCAACTATGTAAGGAGATTATGAAGAAGACAAAAAACAAACTTCTGTCAAAAATGCACAGCACAAGAATAAGAGGCAATAAACACAAGTTACAGCAAGGGAAATTACAATCAGATACAAAGAAAAAATGATTCACAATGATGGTGGTGCAACACTGAAACAAGTTATCTCCATCTTTGAAAATATTCCAAACTCATGGAAGACCTCAACAACCCAGTCGAATTGTCCCAGTCTGGAACACCAGTAGGGGTGCATGTTGACCTTTAGAGGTTCCATTCAACATAAAATAGTCTATAATTTTGTCTGTTGTTTTCTGCATCAGTATAAAGAGAACTCCAGAGTGTGATTAGCTCTTTTTAACCTCCTACTGAAATCTGGTAAATCAGTGACAAGCACAGGTCAGGTTTTCATAAACCCAGCCTGACATGCCAATGAACACCCACATAAACACTGAAGTCAGTTAAGATTTCCTGACATAAGCCATATAATCAATGGAATTTTTGAGTAGTGATCTTCAAAGATATATTCAATTTATAGATGTCACCTGAGCACCACTTAGTCCCTTAAACATAACCTGAAATAAAAGGCTTGTCCAACTGTCCCTTTCTGGTAACTTGAGGATGGGGGTGGACAACACAATCTTTATGATTAAATACAGAGCTTCCGGTCCTCACCATCTCCTTTTGCTTGTTTGTTTTTTAAGAGTAGTAAATCTGCATGCCAAATCTTGGTTTTGCTGGGAATTCCCCTTTACAATTTATATATACTAACAGAGCTTTATTAGTCCTTACTTAGCCAACAAATTCCTAAATTCTTGAGTTTTACTTGTAACTGACTCATACAGATTTGAGCTACCTGATGGTGACATTTTAATTCCAACACCAGATGTTTTGCAGTCTAAATAGGAAATAGGTAGTAGTTGTGCCCTCACTTCCATGGATCTTGCCTCCATTAAACCCATGAGGTCATGACCAGGAGCCACTAATAGAACAGATTGGACTAGATCCCGAGGTTACAAATAAAAAACAAGAAACAAAACTGAAGTACATTAAGCCTCATTTTTTAGTTCTTCCAGTATCTTTAAAGTCATCTGAAGATCACAGATAAGAAAAATAATTGCTGAAAACCATTAAGGTCCCTTCACAAGTCCCTTCTGTAGCCAAAGTCCTGCAGTAAATCTTACCACAGCTTCCATTTTTGCCTACACCTTAGGTTTCAAATTCCAAATATTAGTTAGAAAGGGCAACCCCAGTTTATTCCCTGCAGTTTTAAATTGCTTGCCCAGGAGCATGCAGATTTCTTACCTTTCCAGGATCATCTCTTGGTCGAGGCACCTTCCGAAAACATTTATTCAGAGAGAGGTTATGACGAATAGAGTTCTGATGAGAGATTAAGATAGACAGGTAAGGGCTACAACAAAAATGTACAGCTTTCTGAGTATGCCTGAAGTGGGTAGAGAAAACACTAGGATGATGAATACTCAAAAGCCAAAGCCCACTACATATGCCCAGAGCAGAACAGAAGCTGTGGGCAGAAGAGGGATGGATTCTGATTACTAAAATGGGGCTAAGCCACCTATACATCTACAGGTGCAACAAAAATAATATCAGTGTGATACAGAGGTTAGCACTGATGTGAGGTTTAGAGCAGACAGGAGGGACTGTTTTATTTTTCCTGGTTGCTAGTTGTGGTTTTTTTGCAGGCTCCTTCTTAGGAAGGACACCACATACATGCAACAAAATCCTCAGAAAATGGGACTTCTGGCTCTGCATTTTTTCAGGTTGGTCAACTTAGTTTCACATCTCTAATTTTATTTTGGTCAGTGAGATAACTTTACAGAGAATTAAGAAAGTAAGTCTTTAGTTCAGTGATGCAAGTCCTCACCTTCCAACCAATACCAGCATTTTTATAGTAGGGCAAGTTGTCACAGATCCAACGGTAGATCTCACTAAGCGTCATCTTCTTGGCAGGTGATGAGTTGATGGCATATGTGATCAGAGTGGCGTAGCTGTAACGTGGCTTTCCATCTTGGTGCACTGCAGCCTCATCCTTACTCAGGGTGGCATTGGGATCTGTTGGGGAGCCAGGGGGACATTTTCGGGCAGCCCCTGGAGGTCCTGCTTGTGAGGAACCACCTAATTTTTCAATAGTAGCCCTTAAAGTAAGCTGTGGGAGCCAGTCTATGGAAGTGAGGCTGCTTTCCAGGTCAGAGGCCATGATGCTGGAAGCAGAAGTATCTGTGAGGAGAAAGGAGAAGAAAGGGAACTCCTGAGATATGAACAAGGTAAACCATAAGAACAGAAACGTCCATTTGCATCCCTCCTCTGCTTCTCCCCCTATCACAAATACCTTCTGTGTGAAGATCATCCTGCTTCATATACCTTATTCACAGCTAGAAAGCACAGGAGGGCCATCCTGGCTGACCATAGCTGGGACAGTGCTGACGGTAGCATTGCTAGGACAGTCTTACCCAGAGCATCCCAACTGTTCCCAGGTAAAGAATTAAGATCTGTTCAAAGAAAGTGAAGCCTTTTCAGCAACTGTATCACCTTCACTCCTTTACTACATAAGCAATATTACTTTGGGACGCTTCACCAAGATTACCTGTAATTCAGTAGGTTTACTGTGTCAGGTAAGAGGAAAATAATAGCTAAAAGGGAATGCTCCTTCATGACATATACAAACCACAATTTAATTGGATCATCTGGAAAAGTCAGGATGGTGATTATCTTAATTTGGGAATTAATTTGGGAAATTAATTTCTCTCTAAGGCCTAGCCTTTCTTTTTGCATCAGGTGACATAATAAATCCTATTCCTTAGAGCTAGGATTACATATCTCATTTTAAAACACCACGATCATGCATAACACTATATATAGATAATTACATCTACCATGTCGAGGTGGAACAGACTATATTAAGCTCATAATAGTTAAAGCTTTGACTACCATAACCCATTTTTCCTAAATATACATATCATTTTCTTGAATTAAATCTTGCTTAATTCACAGTATAACACGCCCAAATCTGAGACACAAGAACAACTTACTTGTCCAAGGTCACACATCAAGTCTGCCACAGGGTGGAAACAGACTCAAGATCTTTCTTCTCATAAATACTGCATATTTCTCCTCATTAAAAAAAAAAACAACAAAAAACAACCAAACAAAACAAACCACAAAAGAAACAAAAACCACACACCTATCCAACATGCCTAGCACTTGTACCCAGGGTATTCTACTTAAAAATTATTTTATATGAAGAAAATATTTACCAGCATGAACTTGTATGAACTTTTACACTTAACAAACAAACTTGTTGCTGTCTTTTGTAGTACTCAAGGCAGTAGAAAGATCATAATTATGAAAGATCATAATTCGCTGCACTGAGGTAGCTAAGTTTCCATGGCCACAACCTGCACTGCTCTGCATTTACTCTTTGCATAAAGAAATTAGTAACATCTCAAAGGGTTGGAAGTTTTGAGTCTTTTATTTTTGAAATCAACCTTTTTAGAGGATTAGTATATACTATCTTTGAGTATGCTAGTGCATACTAAAGGTAAAAGCACAAACTCACGCACATACTTATGTACACACTCATGAAACAAATGAAATGCATACATATAAGAGAACAGACTGACATGAACATACTCTGCTTAGGAGAGATTGATCAGCAGACACCTCCCATCAAGTGCATCACTCAGATGAGTGGATCAGATGAGACAGGGAGACACCCATCTGCATGAATACCAATTAGATACTTGTTCTAAAAATAGGTATTTGAACAATAGCACAATGTGGATGCACAGACCCAGAGACAGATGCACTCAGCATTCTGACAAAGAAGCTCCCCACTCTTCCCCCATAGTCATATGCATTATACCTTACAATTCTGCACTGAAGTGCTCTCACTTCACAAAAGCACTTCAGAGTTTATACTGCAGCATGGTTGCATGCCCTAAACCTTTAATGCTCATGCATGTGCTCATCACATCTATTAGAGCTGAAACACCTACACAATATTCCAACAAAATCCACTCCTCAACTACCACTGGCAGTGGCTCCACAGCCCTGGGCTCAGAAAACACCTAACTGCACAGCTACCACCATCACTCACATGCAGGCACAGACTGAAAAGTAAAACTGCAGCGCTACAGTATCTGTAGTGAGTGGAAATACTTTCCTGTGGAGGAAAGGAAAAGCCCAACTGCTACTAACTTATCTACCTACTCATCTGCCACCCTATCACGTATGACAGTGATGACGACTTGTTATATAGTTAGACAGGCGATCAGAACGGCAAAAAAAGGCTTTCCATTAGCCACCCTTCCTCAAGTTGTTGTCTATTGAATATAGCTCTTTTTGGCTGACTTGATCTTATATCAGATATTTTAAATTAAAGCACAGGGAGATAAAAAAAGCTATTCCTTGCTGAATTATACAAGATAAAAGCAACAATGTCTTTTTATTCAGTGGAGATGGACAAACTACTGAGGTATCCAGGTAACTGAAACACAGCTACAGATGCATGGTAACTTTACAGATACAGCCATCACTAAAACTAGTATTCAACTTGAGAAAAACCAAACACAAAGTATCAGTTGAATGCTTAATTTTGTAAGTGTGCCTCATATAAATGCTAATTTCCACAATGCATTTGAAGAACAAATCACTGCATGTGAAGCCATTACGAAATATCAGTAATGCTAACAATAAAAATCCAAAGTAAAATAAATCCACATTCTCCAGCAACCAGTCACCTTTTTTTTTTTTTTTTAAAGGCAAGAACAGAAATAAAAAGAAATTAGATTATAAAAGCCTTTGGTAGACTAAGATACCAATGTGAAACACCAGAAATTCAAGAAGCAGAAGAAAACACTGCAGTTTTCACAAAGCTTCAGGGTTTTGTCCAGGTTATGTCAGCAGAGCATTCGGAATAATTTGCTTTGTAGTGAAATGTAAGAGTGATACGCAACATGCAAATCATCACATGTACAAGCTTTTGTGTATTTGTATTAAATACACTTGTTGGGGGGACAAGCAAGGTTAGAATTGGGTCACATTACACCCACATTAAGAATGTGAACACTTTCATTCCCTGGTTTATAAAAATCTTTGACAAGAGAAAAAATAATCCCATAATCTTAAATAGAAAAATTCTGTGTATACTACATATGCACTAATCACCCAGCACTGAAACAACTGGTTTTTTGGTAAAATATAGCAGCTCTTTAAGAATATATATGCTGGACAGTAATTTAAGACATAAAGTGAAGACTCAGACCAAATAACAATCACATGGGGAATTTCAAAGCAGTGGAATAAGGTATTTTCCCCAAGATTTACACTTGATCGTGTTACTGGATTTGTAAGCCTGAATCCTGGCAATATAGGATCTGTAATAATCGGGTAGAGTGAAACCTTAGGTAAAGTGGCAATTCCAGAATACTATTTCTGCAAAAACAATTTGGTATAATTGGCTACTAAATTATTTGAAAGAATACATGCTATAACATTAAGACTTGCTATAATTTGTGCTGCACCTCATTCACCTGATCCAAGCAGTACACCAGCCTGACACTACTTAATAGTACAATACAACAAGACTGCAGCCAAACCAGAGCAGCTGATGAGTCTTCCAACTTTCCCTTCCTGTTTTATTGCCTGACAAATCTTGTTGCAAACTCCTCTCTTATGATCCCACCCACTCTAAGGAAAAAAAAAAATAGTAATGACTAACAAACACATTGAACTGAAATGGAGAGTGTTTTTTAAAAAAATCCTACGTTAGCAAGCCAGATTTAGCTTCAAAGAAAACAAAAGAAAGTCAAAGACTAGAATTTATAATCTCCCACTTTACATGGTAAATGGTACCTGTTCATGTATTTGGCTGACTTTAAAAACTTAGGGTAAAGTAGCCAAGTCATAACCACCATCAACAGCTGGAAATTGACCGCAGTCTCCATTTCTCAAGCACTAACTAGTTCCAGCACAACTCCAAGTCAAGGCAGGTCAAAGAGGTGCAAAAATGACAACCAAGCACTGATCCAAAATTACAATTATACAGACGAGAATCTGTCTGATTCATAAGGAAAATGTATTAATCAGTAAAGAAAATCCTATAACTGAATACCTTTTAATAACCACTAATTCACTTGGGGCTAGTAATACTTCAGCTTTCCAGGAAAGCTACTGCCATATTTTGAATATTTGCAACTAGCAAATGAAACCTCAGGCTGAAAATGCAAGTTCTTCTGTGTATCAGATTGTGATATGCCTGACACTGGACTGAAGGAATCTGTCCTCTGCCTGCCTTGCTATTTTGCAAATGCTTGCTCTCAGCCAGTCAGATCTTATCCAAGATTACTTATATATCAGGACTGAAAAAAACGTATTACATGTGGGGAACAACCCTCTGAGGGTCATATCGAATGCAGTTAACAAACATTTATAGCCTGAAATACTCTCTGAGGCTGATCTCAAAGGCTGGCCAGTCAGAATCAGTTATGACTGAAGCAGAGTCACACGATGAATGAAACTACACTGTGCACAGCCTGCAGAAGATGCATATTCTAGAATAAATCTTTATGTTTAGTCTTCTATATTTACTGTCACTGTTGCTTTGTTTGCTGGTATTTCAATCTGAGAAAACAATCAAAGGAGACTCAACTTAGGTTTCACAACATAAACTTTGAAAAAGAAGAAATGTGCAACAGACTACCAAGCATTGAGAGACGTTGCTGTAGAACACATGAAAATAAGGTCACTTTGATTTAGGTGCCTGGAACACAGACCCAGTGATGCAACTAATATCCATCTAATAGACTCCAGATACACACCCACCTTCTAAGGAATTTAACAAGCAAAAACCTCAAATGTAACAAACTGGTAAAAAAGAACATTTTGACTGCAACCCTTCTGAAACATAAAGGTGAGTGGGATATTAATTACAGGAAACTGCCTCAAAAAGTAAGGAGAAAAGTAACACACAAGAATACCACATGCTTGGAGAAACAGACAGCTTCTGCTTTCATGGAAAAAGGCAATTTTAACATACTTGTGGAAGTTATACATGCAAGAAACCTGTATTTTTATGTCGATACAGAAGGGGTATAGGATCAATTTTGCTAACTCTGGCATGAAGATAAATCTGACACTTCAAGACGTGCTTTCCCTCAAAAATAAGGAGGTGTGAACTAAGAAAGCAGGAACACAACACCTAAAA